CCCAACCCAACCCTATGCTTCTCCTCCTTCGTGCTCCTCTCAACTCTCCAATTCCAACCTCACCGCCAAATCTCCTCTACGGCCATCATCTTCTTTCCTTAATCTTCTTTTTCCCCACCGAAATCGCTTTCCCACTATCGTTGGGCCGTCTCCTTCTCCTCCTCATCAAACAAATCCAATCAATCTAGAACAGAGGCGACCAACAGACGAATCGTCAGTATTTCGTAGCGATGGAAACTATTGAAGCATCTAGCAAGGGGCAACGTTTAAATCTTTGGATGATGGGAGGCAGAGCAAGGTTAGATATAGGTTTCTGCAGGAGGAACATCAAAATAGGAGGAGAGGTATTGGTGGCGACGAGGGGAAGAAGGGAAGTAGATGTTATGGTCGGAAACAGGGGACGAGGGGAGAGTAATCGTCACTACTAGTAGGGAGAGTGAAGGAGAGCAGAGGTCTTGGAGTAGATTCGGTGCAGATGTAGATCTGGAGATGAGTCGGAAGGTGGTTGGATCTGGACTTTGTTGTGGTTAGAGAATCGACGAAACCAAGGAATTCGAGGAAGGCGCTGGAGTGGGTGGTGGAGAAGAAGACATGACATGAGCAGAGGTCGAATTTGAGTCGGCGACGGAAGGGATGGCGAGGGCGGCGACACAACTACGGGCTTCTTTGATCTCTTCTTGGTCTTCTCTTTGATGTTGCCGCCGCCCAGCAAATGAAATATTTCTGGAGCTACGTTTATCCCATTTGGAGCTACCATTGGGAGTAGGGGTGGGCATTGGGTGGGTCGGGTGGATTTTGACTATAAAATGCACCCACCCGCGCTTAAACGGATTGATAATTTTTAACCCACCACCCACCCACATTTAGTCTCGGGTTGGGTCGGGCGGATGGTGGATGATGCGGGTGGGTTTGTGGGTTCACCCACATCACAATGTATATAATATAAAGGAGTCAACTTGACATGATAATAGGTGAAGAGAATCATCGAGGGAAACAAGAAGTTGAAATAGGGCGAAAAATGTCGAATTAGTTATTATGAAAGAGTTTTACAGATTGAGAAGATTATTAGGTGCAAGGAACTAAGAAAAATAATTCCACAAAGGAAAGAGCGGTGATCTAGGCACAAGAATTAGAGGAAAAAGTAAAGGGAAGAAGAGGGGATCTCTATTTGGAAGGTTGGCTTTGAGGTTCAAACTCCACGAGCAGTCCGAGTTTATATCTAACGTCTCCACTCTCCTCTCTCTCTAGCGCCAACGACTTTGATCTTTTTGATGTTGGGTTGAGCGGGTCACCCGCACACTCACCCACAACCCACCCACCACCCGGCGGATGGCTCCCAGCGCAACCCATCACCCACCCACAGACCCACCCACTTAACGAAATTCGGGTCAAATGCGGGTGGGTCGGCCCAAACCCGCGGATGATCCGCCTGCATGCCCAGCCCTAATTGGGAGGTTGAGGAATGGTGGCATTGGTGGTGGAAGACGAAGGATGTGGAAGAAGGATTGAGGAGGGTAATTGAGCTATGGGAGAGGGGTGAGAAAATAATAATGATAATTGTTATTAAGTAAATAAATTAAAGATAAAAATTCATCCAAAAATTTGTAATTTTTTTTATATTATCTGACGTGTAAAAGTATTTGTAGATCAACGGTTTGACTAACAGTTGACCGGATGGAAAGTTAACGATTTGACTATTAAATTGTTTTCGAAAAGGTTTGGCTAGTAAATTATATTTACCCTTACCCAAAATACAAATTTACATGGTTTATTAACATAATGTGTGTTAAATTCTCTAATTGAAGAGAGATTACACATTACGATAACTACTTCGGGCGCAAACCAAAAAAGGAGATGAGGGCAAATTACTAAGGTTCGTTTGGTTGTTCTTTAGTGAGATTTTTATAATCCTTTGCATTGTTTTTTAATACATCGTTTTTTGTATTTTATGCTCACAGAATACCTGCATTGTTTGCTTGATTCGACAAAAACAATCATTTAATATGAATGATTGTACAATCTCAACTTCTAAATGAGAGTGGTGGTATTGTTCAGGTGAGATTTTTATTTCTTTTTTATTTCAGTTTTATTAATGAAAAATGCATTTTCCATTAAAAATAAAGGAATACACCGTGACTTTCCTTCTTAATCATTAGTAATACAATTCAAAAGCCGTTCTACTATGCTCTAACTAAGAGCATCTCCATCAATGTAATTGCAAAATAAATTGTATTTGTGTTTTTATTGTCAACACAAAAAAAAATTTAATCCACATCACATTTATTTCATTCACCTACATCAATGCAATTAACTTGCAATTGCAAATGTAATTAAATATTATGTTTAAATTATAGAAAATTAAGTAAAAGGGAAAAGAAAATTATATAAAATAAAACATCTCCATTTTTTTAGGCTTTTTGACTTGCATATGGAATTGCATTTGTTGCAAGCTTGCAAATATGCAATTGGTAGTCACATCAATGCAATTGGTTTTGCAATTGCAAACACATATGTCATGTCATTTTGCAATTGAGAATGCAATACCAATGTGGATGCTCTAATAGTGTTACAAGATATAAATTAAACTTTTATCATAGCTATGAATAACAAGTTTAGTTTCTACCATTAAGGAATTTGAAGGTTTATGCTATTTTACAAGGAATATAAAGGTACAAATACAGTTTGTACTATAAAAGAAATTTTAAGTTTATGTTATGATGTAAGTTTAGTTTGTAGTACCATAATTTTTTTTAACCAAAACATTGATAATCTAAAACTTGAACCCGCCCAAGTATACACATGCATATGTATGTTGTCTAGAACTAATCATTATTTTTCTCCAACATATTTTATATTTATCATATAAATATAATATTTTCATGAAATTGTGTTGTTCTAATTAATTTTCTTTATTCTAGTAAATTAGTGTCATACTTTTTCTCTTATTTAATGTGAGAATATGTGTTAACATATTGCTTGGAGTTATAAAGAGAAATTAAATTATTACCCATGGATAACCGTAGATATCCGAAACCGGAACAGGTATGGGCATGGTTCTGATTTTCCACTCGTTTCTTATGTGAGCATGGGCAGTGGCGGACCCAGAAATTTTACATAGGGGTGTCCTCTTTAAAAAATAAAGTAAAATAAATAATAAATAATTGATGAAGATTATATAATTCTTAAATAAGAAAATACCCAACTCGTACAAGTTAAAAAAAGTCAATGATGTATTTTCATATTATAAAAAATTATAAAATACATTTGGTGTCTATGATGCTCAAAATTTTTGTCTCGGTATATCCTACTAGACAATCATTCACGAACTGACGCATATTTGACTTCTAAATTTTTTTTTTATATAACTCAAAGCTAAAAAAACACTTTCAACACTTGTCGTACAACCATAAAATCATTACAAATTAAGAGTAGCTTGTAATTAGATTAATTGTTAGGTATTGAAAATCATTAAAGATAAAGAATAGGATTTTTTATTACACAGTGTTTAGAATAGAACAACCAAAAAGTTATAGCCAAATGGAAATTATATTAATTAATATTAGTGTCCTGGGTTTGAATTACCCAAACTACCACTTATATTTCCATACGCAAACTACAAACAATAGCAGGATAATCGTTCTTTCAAATTTCAGGGTGTCCCGGACTATTAATTATAATTTTTTTGTTCATACGTAAATTACCACCAGGAGTTTGATAATCGATCTTCCAAAATTAGGACACCCCTAAATGTCCTGGGTCCGCCCCTGAGTATGGGTATGGGTAAAACTTGAACTATTTTGGATAGGATAACAAATATACACTCTTCGCTCCCTACCTGTTCCGTTGCCAATAAATATGCACTATCCGCTACCGACCCGTCCCGTAAAAAAATAGGCAACAATAGGGATGGCAATGGGTCGGGTTGGGTGGGGTTTTGCCAAACCCAAACCCAAACCCAAACCCATGGGTTTATCTTTGAAAAAAACCCGGGGTAAAACCCACTGGGTTTGAAAAACTCAAACCCAACCCAACCCATTGGGTATCTGCGGGTTAATGGGTACCCACGGGTTTTGTCGTAAAAATTTACAATTACAAGTTCTTATCAAAATTAAAGTAAAATATCAATCTCTCAATACAAATTATCCATATATAAAACACCATTCTAGAAAATTCAACCAAATCACAAATTAACTATACAAATTGTTCAATGCCAATCTAGAAAACTCAAGAAAATTGAAGCAAATCACAAATTATCCATAAATAACATGTTTAATTGAAAGCTTCTTCCTTTCAATTAAGTTTCTTTACTCTCCACTCCATAACATCAACTTCATTCTACACAATTAAAAAGAAAAAATTAGACATGTCTCCACAAACATAAATAAGATTAGTTGTTTAGAATATTAAATATACCAAAAAAATTAATTATATGGGTGGGCGGGTACCCACGGGCAGGGTTTACCTAAACCTAAACCCAACCCAACCCGATGAATAGTGAACGAGTTTAAACCCAAACCCGGTCCAAACCCGGTCAACACGGATTTTACCCGCGTTGACCGGGTTTGGTCGGATGGGTACCCGTGGATTCGGATTTTGTTGCCATCCGCAACGATATGAACAATTTTGTTCGTAGGTTTTGCTTTTATATATATATATATTGTGGGAAGGATTTTTTTTTTTTTTTTTGTTCGTTGGTGCTAATATATTTTTTTCGTTGGGGTAATCAATGAATCACGAAAACTGAAAAGCCTCGTCCACCTTCTGTTGGTTTGCGTCTCCCCCTTCTCGTTTCATATTTTCATCATTGTTTCTCTCTCATTCCCTCTCTCTCTCTCTCCCCCCTCTCAAATCGAAAATTATTCTTTTATTCAATTTGTTTTAATACAATAAGCAAAACCCCAAGACGGAGAAAAAGTTTCTGTATTTGCCTGCTGCCTATTGATTCCCAGTTCCAGTTTTAGTATCATTTTGTCATATCATCTCCCCCCCTCCCCCACCAAAAAAAATAAAAATAAAACTACAACTTCTTCCCCTTCCCTTCCCTTCCCTTTTCCCTTTCTCCAATCCTCTCCTTCTTCTGCCGATACTTTTTCCAGTGGGATAGAAATGTGGGACTTGAACGACTCCCCAGCTCAGAGAAGAGCCGCGGGGGCAGCGGATGAGTTCTCGGAGGAAGGGTGCTCCAATAATTCCCAAACCGACAAGGGGAAAAGGGTCGGATCCGTCTCCAATTCCAGCTCCTCCCCGGCCCAGCCCATGGAAGACGGATCCGAAGAAGAAGCCGCCGCAGGCGGAGGGAGAATGATGACGCCCAGAAGCCGGGCGCGGAGCCTGAGGAGCAGGATATTCGGCTTCTCCGTGGCGGCGGCCGAGGAGGAGGAGGAAGAAGAAGTAGCAGTAGAAGAAGAGGAAGAGGATTCGGAGATGGTGAGCAGCGAAGGGGGCCCAGTGACCCGGCAGTTCTTCCCGATGGAGGATACAGAAATGGTGGGCCCATCATCGGCCGAAGGAGGAGGAGGAGGAGGAGGAAGCATCGCCGGAATCGGAGCTGGTGGGTTCCCCCGGGCCCACTGGGTGGGAGTGAAGTTCTGCCAATCGGAATCGTCGGCGGCGGCGGCGGCGGTGGGGGAGGTGGCGGGGGCGCAGCCGATGAAGAAGAGCAGGCGGGGCCCACGGTCGAGGAGCTCGCAGTACCGAGGAGTCACCTACTACCGGAGAACCGGCCGCTGGGAATCCCACATATGGTTCGTTCCCCCATACCAGAAAAAAAAAATTAAATAAAGAAAAAAATCTCGTCTCACATTTCTTTTTTTTTGCCGGAATTTATTTTACTGTGGGTAAATACTAGATTAAACCTTCCTCTTTCTTCCCTCCCCCCTCTCTTTCTCATTGCGCAGGGATTGCGGGAAGCAAGTCTACCTGGGTAAGCTTTTTTTTTCGCGTATGGTTGAAATCTGGAAGGGGAATTGTGAGAAAGAAAATGGGTTGGGTTTTTTTTTTGTTGAGTTTTTTGACTGATGAACAGGCCGGTGTGTGTGTTTGTAGGAGGATTTGACACAGCACATGCAGCTGCTCGGTGAGTAGTTCTCTCCTTTTTTTTTTTTTCGCCTTTCCTATTTCTCTCTCTCTCTCTAGTCTCTAGTTCAGAGTGGTCGCCTTGTCGGCATACCTTCTAACATTCTTCTTCATATATATATATGAAATCTGATCATCCACTACTTCTACGACTAGCTGATGAGCTCATGAATACAGTCCTTCAATGATTCGATGGGTTTGTTTGTTTGTTTGTTTGTGTGTGTCTGTGTGTTTGCAGTGCATATGATAGAGCAGCGATCAAGTTCAGAGGGGTGGAGGCCGATATTAACTTCAGCATTGAAGATTATGAAGACGACCTCAAACAGGTATGGGCAGGCATAACAGCCACAGCTAACTTGTCTATAGGTAGAACAAAAAGAGGGTGAGAGAGAGAGAGAGAGAAAGAGAGGATACTGTTGCTCTTGGCTTGAGAATGTTTTCAGTTTCAGTCTCTTCTGTGTTCTTATTATTTTTTTTATATTTTTGGCTCTTTTTCTTGGTGCAAATTTTCTTCCCTTATTTAGAGGGATTGGCCCTTATCATCAACAGTGTCACACCTTATCATCAACAGTTGCTCCCACCATCCACTTCTTTCCTTTCTTTCTCCTTCTTCTTCTTCTTCTTCATCTCGGAAAATGTATGTAATGTATATATAGAAGACTGACGATGCTCTCTCTTTGATGACAACAGATGAGCAATTTGACCAAGGAGGAGTTTGTGCACGTACTAAGGCGACAGAGCACTGGTTTCCCAAGGGGGAGTTCCAAATATAGAGGAGTCACTTTGCACAAGTGTGGCCGCTGGGAAGCCCGGATGGGCCAATTCCTCGGCAAAAAGTACCCCATTCCTCTCTCTCTTTTCTTTTCTTTTTTTCCACTTCCATTATTACTTACTGTGTTTACTTACTCAGACGACTTTGCTTTTGATGCCCCACAGGTATGTTTACTTGGGTTTGTTTGATACTGAGGTTGAAGCTGCCAGGTAATTTATGTAAAACGTTATCGTTGTTTTCGGGTTCCTTTCAGGATTTCCATCCTTCACCTTGTGTTTTGCAATAGGGCTTACGATAAAGCAGCAATTAAGTGCAATGGCAAGGATGCGGTGACCAACTTTGATCCAAGCATTTATGAAGACGAGCTCAACACAACCTCCACCACCACCACCAATAATAATAACAACAACAGCAACTCCCCTTCTGGTGCTCTTTCCCCGTCTCCTTATCTCCCAATCACGTCTCCATAATTTTAGTGAAGTTACGTTACAATTAGCCACAGTAATTATTGATCTCTAATTACAGTATCTTGCATCGCGACCCACAGGTAGCATGAGCGCTGCTGATCACAATCTTGATCTGAGTTTAGGGAACAACTCCTCCAAGGAATTCAATAATCTCGATCACCAAACACGGCCTCATCATGGTTCAGCCGGAATGGATGCCAATGCCGGATTCGATCCCAGCTGGCGAAATCACGGATTAAGGCCTCAGGTGTTTTTTTGGGAAATACTGATTTATCATATTATTAATTAGTTGTTTAGGAAATGCTAGCTAGTAACTTTTACTTAACAGCAAAATTGCTAAATCAAATAAATATATAGGGCAATGAAGAGCTGCAGCAGCAGAGAAGCAATGAGATGGAAGCAATGCAGCTGCTGAGCCAAACCCAGATCCGCTCTCCTCCTGGATCTCTCCATTACCCTAACCACCACCTCCTCCCGCCTCCCCATCATTTCAATTCTTTTAATTTCCAGGTACCACTAATTTCACTTTTTTGAATAATATATATTGATTTTGTTTGTGGTGATGATGAATAATGAGAATTTCTTGTTTTGTTTTATGTATAAACTCAGTTTGCAAGCAGCAGTAACACAGGAGGTGGAGGAGGTAGAATTGGGAGCGAGCTTTCGTTATCCCCAAGCAGCAATAATCATCATCACCATCATCATAATTATAACAATAATTACAATTATGATCAGCAGCAGCAGCAGCAGCAGCAGCAGCAGCAATGGCAATTATCAGGAGGAGGACCGACGAGAGCACCGCCTCCACAACCACCAGCTCCGCCGCAGCAGATGTATGGAAGCGCCTCCGCCGCCGCAGCAGCATCATCAGGATTCCCCCAGCCGCCGCAGATGATTAATAACAGGACTCCGTCTCCATCCCCCAACTGGCTGCAGAAAAATGGGTTCCATTACTCCCTCTTGAGACCCTCTTAATTCACCATTTTATATATTAGTTTTATTGTCATTTTAGTTAAACCATGATTAACAACAACTAAGCAGCTGCTGCTGCCTGCCTCTCTGCCTGACGCCAACTATTTGCTGCTGTAATTAGTTAATTTAATTAAAGGGAGGGGGGTTTGTACTTTGTACTATCAGGGCAAAACCAGCTTAACCAAGGCAGAAGGGGAAAAGAAAGAAACAAAAAAAAAAAAAAATAGGTGTCCCTTTTCCTTTTTCTACGGTCTTTATTTTTAACTTTGGAGAACATATATATATGGTTGTTATCATTACTGTTATTGTTGTTGTTGTTATAGTAAAAAAGTAAATCCCAATTCAGGGTTTCTGACTCAAAACTGTTGGTTGTCTTCTTCTTTTGATGCGGGGGGAGGTAAATTGATAAATGCATACATGGAAGGAACCAAGTAAAAAAAGAAAAAGGAAAAAAAAAAAGGAGGGAAGGAATTGTTACTATTTGCTTTGCCGCCCTACATAATTCCCCATTTATGGCCCCTACCTATAGCCTCTTTAGCCCACCTCCCCTACATTTACCAGTCATTTCATTTGGGGTAAAAATTTTCATTACTACTTTGTTTCATGGGTCTCAGGGCCTTTCAATTTTTTACCTACCCATAAATGGTGGGTCAAATTTGGAGGCTCATTCTCAATTGTTTTATTTTCCTCTCTTCTTCTTTGAGGTGTGTAACAAACACCCTTGCTTTGAGGTGATCCTTTTGGCTTCCCTAATCGAGTAATCCCACAAGTTGCAAATACAGGGACAGATCCCCCAAATCAGTCAATAAGAGAGAGAGAGAGAGAAGGGTTTTGGGAATTAAATTAAATATAGTTTTTTATTTTCTAGTTTTTGGGCATTCTCAAAACCTAGCTAATAGGGGAAAGAAACTGTATATTGATTTTGCCCTCTGAGCAAGTTGGGTATTTTATTTTTATTTTACTGTTATAATTTTTTATTTTTGGGGGTGGGGATGATGGGTGTGTGTTGGAAATATGAGCGGATGGTGAGATGAATAGTCACAATCTAGAGTGTCCTTTGAATCAGTTCTCTTTGGAAGGCAAAAGCCAGTCAGACATTGGGGCTATAATGGCGAGAGGGACTTGTCAATATGAACACCCTCCCTCCCTCTCCAAGCAAGGAAAGGGAAAAAACAAAAGCTCAAAAGTAATATAAAGAGGTAAAAAAAGAGATACCCGAAAGAATGGAAACATCACAACTAGTGAAAACAGAATTCAGCGCAAGAAAAAGAAACTCTGATATATATTTATTATGTGTATTTACAGGCGCAACAGCTTTACTTTGTTTTTACTATTGACATGATTGCTTGCTTGCCTCTTGGGCTCTTCTTTATTAGTAAAAGAACGAGTTACCATTTATGTACAACTTCACAGTCTGCCCAACAAGGGCTATACAGTCAAGGTGATTTAACCCTCCCCCCCCCCTCTGATTTTACTTATGGACGTCATATATTTCAAGAAAAGTTGTGTATAGTATAGATGACTTTTATTTATTTTTTTTGGTAAGAAGATGACGTTATTTTGAAGATGCAAGAAGAGGAAGTTTTTATATATTTACTCGCACAAATTGGTCATCCAACTCGTAATCGTTTTTGGGTTTCCTACATCATGTAGTGTGTGTTTAAAATAGTATTTATGAAATCGTAACACATCGATGGTTTGACGGGAAAATCTTTTTATTGGAGGCTAAATTGATAGACGGATTTTAGGATTATGAAATAGTTGAACCAAGATTCCCACACAAAATACCTTATATCGGTTTCACAATCTTTGCTTTAATAAAACCTACAATTACCGTAGCTTTTCTTTTTATAACCCTTCTATCACAATTTACCTTAAAAAAATGTTTATTATATTCTATATTGACACTATTATTTGTATCGTTCCAATTTTATCAAATGTCCCGAAAAGTATATATGAGTACTATTCTCGGCCACGCCACTATACTGGTTTGATCTCGTACATAAGAAATTCATCTGGAATTGAAGTTGAAACCTTGTTGAAACAACGGCCAAATACAGCAAAGAGGGTTGAAAAAAAGAGGGAGAAAAAAAAAGAGAGAGGATAAAATAAGAAGAGACATAGATAATAAAACCTGCGAGATAAAGGAAAGGAGTGTACGAGGAAACATCCTCTAGGCTTTTTTGAATCTTAAACGGGAACAAAGGCGACGAAGATATTTTTATTATAATATTAATTATCCCCTTAATCAAATACTAATTACTTTCGCTATCACATGAACGAAGAAGCTAGAAGAAGAAGAAAGAACCCACCAGAATCCGTCCAGGTTAAACAAATTCGATATTCTTTGGTTAGTTTGGATCGATCGATGCCTGTTGTCATGTCCTTTTTTTTTTTTAATGTTTGATTAATTAATGATACAAGAGGGCAGGGGGCGTTTTATTCAAGATAATATATATATAGAGTACCCAACTTACAGGTTTTTCATATTTTTAAAATCAAAATGGAATTATAATATAAATCAGAGATTTGCAATGTGCGTCATCTGGGTCGTCACTACACATTATATTTATTACGGAGAACCTAAAAAAGTAGAGGACAATTGCCCATAAAAAATTAATTAAGCACAATTATGGTGAAAAGGGGAAAAACAAAATAAAATCTTCCCCCCATTTTTTTATTCTTTAAATTGTTAATCATAATAATGAGCCTGTGAAGCAGAACGCAGCGAATGGACTTGGCCAAGTTTTCTTTTGTTTAATAGTTTTATGCTTTGCTGACACGTATGCTACTTTGTGACCACGTGAATCTTACCCTTTTTTAATGTTGGTTGTTTTTCTCTAATATTTGCTTTTAGAGTCACTAATCCTAAGTACAGCGTACTAATGTACTACTAATAAGCGGGAATTAAAAAGAGAGCAGCTAACTCTAAGTCAAAACCCTAATCCTCCCTAATCCTCCCCTCGTCTCCCATCATCTCCCTCAAATCTATCAATCAAAACCCATCTCTAACCAACATGTAACCTAATTTTTCCTAAATATTTTATAAATAAAAATAATTTTGCTAACTGATGTAACAAATCTTTTATTTTTATTTATAACAATTGATCATGACACATATATCCAATGTTATCCTGAGAATTTGTGGGATGGACGTGTTGAGCTTATAGGCTATAGCCACATTGGTAATTAATAATTTTTCTTTACTTAAATCAATAAATTATGGAAATTGAACTCAGAAAGAACATTCTATACCGACTCCATACCTTGCCTATGTTTGGCCCGGCTTTTAGAAGTGCTTTTCGGCTTCAAAAGTTTAAGCAGGGCCAAACACCTCTAAAAGCTCGGCTTTTGAAAAGCCGAAAAGCGCTTTTGTATAACATAAAAGCAGAAGCTCCGATTTGGAGCTTCTGCGAAAAGCTGTTTTGAAAATACAAGATTATCCTTACCATATTTTAATTTTATTTCAGAAAATATAATTTTCCTTCATTTATATCATTTTAAAAATAAAATAAATTATAAAATCATATTATTTAATATAAAAGAAATCTAACAAGATCCATTTTGACTACTTTTTATTGTTTCGAATTTTTATTTATATTTTATATTATAAGTCCTTTATAGTCATTTTACACAACCGCTCATATTAAAAAGCACTTCTAATAGTTTTACAGCCAAACACTAAACTGCTTTTTTTGAAAAGTACTTATCTAAAAGCTCCAGCCAGAAGCTGCTTCTGCAAAAGCTACAGCAGGGCCAAACTAAACTATATCATTTGAGATACGTTTGATACTTTAATGCAACTTTATTTATTTTTTAGCAGTACAATCTTTCCTTCCTAAGGTGATTAGAGGACTAGAAAATCACTCTAAAAATACACTAAGATCCAATCAAACGTCACATTTTTGGTACGGCAACACATTTCTCTATATCTTCTATTGCAAATTTGTTCAATTAAGTGTAAGTTCTTCTTTCATATACTTTTTTGTTTGATCAAGTACACTTTCCTTTCACTTTGTATCATATACATTGAGAGAGTAGTTGACATATCTTAATATACCAACTATTTGGAAATATTTAAAAGTTTATAAAGAATAATATATATTTGAAGAGGGGAGTCCAAAGGGATTATGCACATCAACTATTTGGAAATATTTAAAATTTTATATGCTAGTTCGGCCTCAAGTACTCTACGATGTATTTTTACTGTTCTTATATAAATGACTTCGAGTTTTTTAACATTTCTAACTTTTTTGACCAAAATCTCTCCGCTTTGAGTCTACTCTTCGGGATGTTGCTTCTAAGGTGTATCATGGTGACTTCCTAAAAAGGTCACTCATGCATACTTGCACTACTCCACATTAAACATGTTTAACTTCAGAATTCTTACAAGAGCTTTTTCATTTCACCTCCTAATCCACCTTGTCAGTTAAAGTCAATTTTTTTACTTATGAATAATGGATCTCTCACGTGCTTTGTCGTTGTGAAATTTTCCTAAAGTTGTTACATACACCCCCCCTAAGTGTCTCAGGTCAGCACCCTTGTTACGGTTTGCCCCACCATCGCCCAAGAAGGATGTGGAGATCGAGACTCTAATACCATTTGTCACCGACCTTTTCCTCACCAAAATATTGGGCGCTTTGTATCTACCCTACACTATTTTGCTTTTGGGCCGCATCATGATGTCTTCCTAGGAGGTCACTCATCCTTGCATTGCTCCACAATGAGCACATTTAACTTCGAAGTTCTTGCAAAAACTCTTCCATTTCATCTCAACACACGCTTTATCAGTTAATGTCAATTTCGTACTTATAAATTATGGAACTCTCTCCGTATTTTATCAATGTGTGATTTGACTAACGTATTACAGTTTTGTATCGCGATTGATTTTTTTTTATAATTACTGTTTATACTTTTCTCCTTCTGCCTATAAACTCGTTCATAAAAATGGAACATTATCTAACTACCCCGTAAAAACGTCCCATAACTTACAACCATCAAAAGCTTCTTCACCTCAAATTCGAATCTGTAGAAAGAAAAGCTAAAGTATTGGTTCTACTTCTAATCTCACAGGAAAAAAAATCAATTGAAATTGGATGAATCCAGTATAATCTAATTTGTTTTAATAATCATGGCATTTCTTAAAATGTAAAGGAATTTTTTTAACCAAATGCACTTTTGACTCCGTCCTAATCGATATCGATGTCAAACCGATGTCATTCAATGTCCACCATTACATGTTAGTCAACTTTTGGTGGTGGAAAGCAGAAAATATCCAATTATCCATGAACTATGGGATTTGCAACAAAGCAAATTGCACAAAGCCTATAATCTCCCATTTGCTAGTAAAAGACTGATT